TTAAACACTATCTAAAGATTTGCATTGAAGCGTTTTTTTTTATAGTGATTTTAATCACTGTCAGATATCATTATACTTGATGCAACTATACCACGACACCACTGTGCCGTGATCCCCCTGTGCTGGGTTTTTTTAATTTATGATTTATATAGCAACATATACAAAAAAATTTGGAATATTAGAGACTGGTAGTAGCACACACAAATAGATTTAAAGGATTACTAAATATACAAAGTAAAAATATTTACTTTTGTAGTTGAATACTTTTATCATATCAAATCTGTTTGAACGGAACGCCCGGTTATAATGTGCGGGTTAGTTAACGTCCGGTTGGGTTATCTAATTATGCCGGAGAAAGAAATAGGGAGTGGACTGTATATAAAAGGATGGTACTTACACTAAATAAAATAATAAGAATTACAAGATAATGAGTTATATTAAAGTAATCATATATATATATATATACTATTATAGGTTTGTGGATCAGGGTCCCTTAATACTAATGCAACAATGCGTAAAATAAAAACAATTAATAAAAATAAAAATTAGATAAATAATATGATTACAAACTACCTATACGATACTAATGATGATGACTGGTTTGATGTGGATAAAATGGGAATGAAGTTGTTGGCGTGACAATTGTACGATGCAGAACAGACTTTGGCGCGAATAGTACTTCAAGGTGTACGAATTTAATTCTCAATGCGCGTATCGCAAGGGCGATATATAGTGTCTTTAACAATTACGTGATCGCAAGCACCGTAAAAGCATAAACGAAACGAGTTAGGATGGTGGCGACAGACGCAAAATCAAAAAGGAAGATCAACAGTAACTCGATGTCGTACAATGATCGCGTACGTATTCATCCATACGCAATGAATGGCTCACACAACCGGCGGGGGTAGTGCGAGAGACGTTATCAGTCATAGAAATACGATGTAGCAAAACGCCCTCTCGTAATGCGTACCCAACAAAATCTAATTCGACAACAAATACTTTAAGAATATTAGAAATTAATGATTCTAATTGTTTGTATAGAAAGAGCTGGTTTAGCTACTTTTTTTTTGAATAAGGAAAATTTTTTCGATTTTTAAGAGTAATAACTTAAACTAAATACGAGTTGTAATCATTTCACGTAAAGTAGGTCTAGTGAGGGTTGGCAAAATAAATTATAGCAACAAAAAAAACTACATAGTAAAATAATATTAACATGAATATAAATTTCTTCTCACGAGTGGAGACTATAGTGATAGGATTCCTTTATATTTATTGAAGTTATTGAATCTAAATGAGACAAATATCAAATGATTTAAAAATTTTATTCTATATCAAAAAAAATGCAAAATATTAATTGGTAGAGACGGATTCGAACCTCGTAACTTTAGCGTGAAAGACACAAGTGTCACCGATTTTGCAACTGTTCGTTGCTCTCGTCGCACGAAAAATAAGGCTATATAAGCCAACTCAAATTTAAAAATTACTTTTTCGACTTTAAAAAAGTAAAAATATTTAATAAGTTTAATGTTAAAATTGTTTATATAGTTTAATATTGTCTTATGAACTTTATATAATGAATTATATAATATTCATGAAAGTCAGTGTATACCCCTAATAAGATATTTTAAAATAAAATAAAATACAAAACACAAAATTTTAATACATAAATAGCATATTTTTGAATATGGTAGCCATTTGCGCATAGAAGATAGATCGTCGAGACAAATTTTTTTTTTTCATTTTATAGTACACATAAAATAAGCTTTAATTTGGTATATGTATAAAGGATGCAGTATTTCAGGAACATTTTCAAAAATTAAGTTGAAAAAGTTACTATTTTAAATCCCCCCCAGTGAGCAGAATAAGTGTTAGATTTTCAAAAAAAATTATATCAAATGAATGGGAAATATCTAAGGTTTCAATACAAAAAAATATTATTTTTTGTTAATTTTTGAAAAAGTTATGGCAGTTTTAAGCACAAAAAACATCCCGATAAAAGGTAATTTTTATCGCGAACATTAAATTTTTTTTTAATTTTCGACAGCCATTTGCAGATAGAAAATAAGACGTCGGGACAAATTTTTTTTTTTCATTTGATAGTATATAACATAACCTTTAATTTGATATATGTTTAAAGGAGGCAGTATTTCCGGAACATTTTTAAAAGTTCAGTTGAAAAAGGTCTATGTTTTTTACAATATTTCAAGTTTTGAACACCCCCTATATAAGGGGAAATTGTCCAATTTTAATAAAAAGTATGTCAAATGAAAGATGTACTTATAATGTATTTAGAAAAAAAAAATTTTACTGATAATTACATTTTTCGAAAAGTTATAGCACTTTGAGTTGAAAATTTAAAATCGAAAATCGAAAATTTTAACACAAAAATAATGTTTTTTTAACTACGGCAGCCGTTTACTTGCAGAACATAAAGTGTCGGGACAAAATTTTTTTTTCATTTTATAGTACACATAAAATAAGCTTTAATTTGGTATATGTATAAAGGATGCAGTATTTCAGGAACATTTTCAAAAATTAAGTCGAAAAAGTTAGTTTTTATAAAAAAGTTTCTATTTTAAATCCCCGCCAGTGAGCAGATTAAGGTAAATATCTAAGGTTTTAGTATAAAAAAAAATTATGTTGATTTGTTGAATTTTGAAAAAGTTATGGAAGTTTTAAGAAAAAAAAGTGAAAAAATTTCGAAAATTAGCGATTTTTAAATTTGTAATTTTTTTGGATATTTCCCCCATTTGNAAAAATGACAAAATTTACAGATTTTTAAATTTGTAATTTTTTTGGATATTTTTCCCATTTGCGGGGAACGAGGAAAAATTTTTCAATTTTTAAGGGTAATGTCTTCAACTAGATACGATTTGTGATATTTTGACATATTGTTGAAAGAAATCGGTCCAGTGAGAGCTGAGAAAAAGTGGCAACAGACACAAAAAGAAAAACACATCATAGTAAAATTAATACCTTCTCCGCTTCGCATCGAAGATAAAAAATGATATTGGAATTCACCTGATTTAACAATGGATCTTTACAACTGTAGTCAATTTTTATGATATTCTCCTTTATGTAGATTTTTAAACATATTTTTTTATTAAATTTTTTAATTTCGTTGCGAAACTAAAAATATATTGTTTTTGTGTTTCTGTGCGTTTCTTTTATATCTAAAATTACACTACATTAAAAAATTGCAATATCTAAAATACTGTTTTAAATTAAATAATTCTACAAATAATAGTAGCATAAAATTCGTTTTTATATTAAATTATGCAGTACAATCATTTTACTAAAATAAATAATTTTTTTTAAAAATCATAGACCGATATATATTTTTTAAACCATATTTTTGCACTAAATTTAAATCTGAAAATAAATATTTTCGAGTTAATTACTAATTAGAAAACGTGTACACACATACAAAAATATTTATTAAAAAACGGTAGCCAGTGGAGTTTTTTTTTATAGAAACACGAGGTATTTACCTATAATTTTTAATATATTTTTTAAAAATTCTGACCATAGGAAAGGTTTGAAAATTTCCGCAAAAAACTTAACTTTGAAAATGTTCCTGAAATACTGACAGTTTTATAAATATCTTAAATTTATGCATATGTAATATACTATAAATTAAATATAACGGCATCACAATATGGACGTGGCATAGTTGGAACAAGTATAGATAATATCTGACAGTGATTAAAATCACTATCATAAGGAACTTTCCGATGCGTTTCTATAGATAGTGTTTAATTCTAGGAAATTGGAGCATAATTACAAAAGCAACATCATCTTCTATTTTCTTAATTAAGAAATTAAATATAGTATGAAATTGATATTTAATAATTTAATATTAGAATTTTTACGGACAAATTAAAAAAAAAATTAAAATAGTATATTTTATTATTGAAAATAAAAAGGCTTGATGCAATACCCTAAAAAAATATTTTTTTGAAACTGCTATAATTTTTATGATAAACGTGTATAAAAATTGTAGGACCTGATAGAAAAATTTTCAGAAAATAATTTGTTGTTAAATATGAATGATGTATAAAGAATTTTCATCAGATTCAAAAATATACTTTTCTAAATCAATTTTTCCCTCTGATATCAAATATGCAATTAGATTTTTCCATTAACACTAATTTTTGATATATTTATTAAATTGATGTCAATTGAAAGTTGGGCACCTAACTTTTTCTCTATTAATTTGGGAAAGGTATCAAATAAAAAAAAATTGAACATAAAAATTGCATTTTTTTTTAACTACAGTAGACATTTACAAATAGAAAATAGGTTATCGGGAATTTTTTTTTTTTTTTTAATGAAATAGCATATTTTTGAATAGATAACCATGTTATCTATCTCGAATTATTTTTCTCTATATAGTGTATTACATTAGCTTTAATTCTAGATTAAATAAAAGTGTCAATATTTCAGGGAATTTTTCAAAACTTAAGTTGAAAAATTAAAATTTTTGTGCAGAAGTTACTATTTTGAATCTCCCCTATGGGTAGATAAAGGGTCAGAAGGTTTTTTTTAGCTCAAATCGTAACTCTGTTGTGCTACTGTTTTATTATATTTAAATAATATACTACCTTTGTAGACTGTGAAATCATGTTGGCTTCGTACTTAAATTTACCCAAAAATATAATTTCCTACATCTTCTTAAACTAAATTTATAATTATTATTTATATTTTGTAAATAGTTATTAGTGTTATGAAATAACCATAACGTCCCTAATGTGAGATTGCACATTGGAGGCCAGTACAATTTGTGTATACAAATTATAGTGAGTACATTAAAAACTTTTGTATTTAAATTATGAATTCTGGATTGTTAACTAAATTATAAATTTTATCATATCATATCATATCATTATATCTTAATGGTGACTGTGTAACAATAAATAATTAAAGTTGCTATTCCTTATGATTAAATAGTATAATTTCTAATAATTTATATAATGTGAATTTCCTTTTATAAAACGTATAGTTTATAAACAAAAATTATAGTTATGAATTATTTTACCTCAGCAGATTTTGATGAAGATTCGGCTTTTACATTTTTGACACGTCTTTTTTTTCCTGCCAATGATGACGCAATACATATAAATATACATATTAATAATATATTATAACAACGCATTTTTCAAAATATACTTTTTATGAAATTTTAAGGATTAAATTATACTAATGAAATTATAATATAATGTGTGTAAATAGAATATTGTTTTAGACAATATCAATTATGTAAAAGAATTTTTATTTGTTAATATTATTAAAAATAATTTGAAACTTTGAAATCATAAATTTATCTAAACTCATATTTGAATTATCCATAAAATTCAGAAAACAATTGAACAAATATTACTCTTCTTTGCAAAATAAAATTAAAAATATAAAAAAAAATTGTCAGAGTGAGTTCATAAGTTATACTTAAAGAAAATTCTAATGTACTCTATAAAACATAAATAAATATATCTTTAAACATTTAAAACTAGTTTTTTTTAGCAATTATTCACAAAATACTAAGAAATATGTTCAGTAAATGTCAAAGTTATATGGTTAATATTTTATTTTAAAGAATTTTATCGAATTTTTTAACATAATTTTCCAGGGGCGAGGGCATTAGAGAATTTTATTTTATTTGAATGAATTTATTCTGTTAGGTAGACTTTGATTGAAATTAATATAAGTTTTAATATTGTTGTTTTTAATGTCAGTAAAATACTTTTCGAGCATACTTATAATTAAAAAAACCATAGCACTGTGAGGTTGCAGCCAGTGTAAACATTTCACACCTGGGTCCAGTATAGATGATATCTCACAGTGATTAAAATCACTATCATAAAAAAACACTTCGAAGCAAATCTGTAGATAATGTTTAATATTAAGAAGTTGGAGGATTATACCAAATGCAAAATGCATTCCTTTTTCCTTTATTATTCCTTATTAGTAGTTCTTTGATTTAGAAGTATAATATATGATTATTATTTATTATAGCAATTTAATATAGTATGAGATTGATATTTAATAATTTAGTATTGTAATTTTTCGGAGAAATTATTAAAAATGTTAAAGTAGTTACTACTTTAGTGGTAAACGTGTATAAAAATTGAAGGGCTTGACACATAAAATTTTTAATTAATAATTTGTGGTTAATTATGTAGTAATAAAAAAATAAGTAAAAAGGTTGTTGGGGATATTTTATTGACCAATGTTGGATATTTGGGGATTTATTCAATTCAGGAGTAAAGAGGTTCTATCGAAGTTGTAGAGTCCGAGGGTTTAGAACAGTACAGACAAGTAGATATAAAAATATATGTATTAAGTTTCTCTCATAGAGGTATTAAAATGCTGAGGTATTCTTGTAGTGGCCGGGGTCTTGGCCTCCTATCTGACACCCAGTCGAAGCGTGATGTTAACTGGTATGTGCATTAGTGGAAATACTGAGGCCTTCATGGACTGGCGGAGGCCTCCTCTCAGACACCCAGTCGAAGTATATGACCAAGCACTAACTAGTTATTAATAATTAAATTAAATGATGTTTAAAAAATCTATTGCTTTACCATTCTTTACTCAGATTATTAATTCTAAATAATTGGGTTAATATAAANTTTAATAATTGAGTTATTATAAATTTACTTACTTCTTTTATATATCTCACGTTCAGATTTATACTTTTCCTTTTTAATAAATAAATAAAGTATTGACGCAAAAATAATTGTACTTCATATCGCTTTAAAATGTACCGACGACATCACAGGGTCGCGGCTAGTTTAATCAAAATAAATCAGTTAGAAGAATTCTGAATTCCTTATTGAATTCAGATCTTCAAAAAGAAAAGAGAACTATATGAACCTCTCGCTGGCACGCTCGCTCACTCACTCACTCACTAATGTGCAAGCAGAACTAAGCCTTTTTATATTATTTTGAATTACCCCCATCGTGGGTTGTTGCCGTCAGCGCTTTTAGTGATTTTCAGTTTATTGTATAAAATTTGAACATAACATGATAATTATTTTAAGATAAGATGCATACATTACAATAATCAATTTAACATGTATAATTCATATACATATATAATAGCTAGTGTACAAACGTGTATATGTTATGACAGATAAATTAATTATTAGCTTCGATGCGAAGCGGAGAAGGTATTAATTTTACTATGATGTGTTTTTTTTTTTTTTTTTTTTTTTTTTTTT